ATTAATTAAAATAAAAAATTTAGATTTGCGTAGGTAACAACGGATGGGTTGTGACTCTTTCCAAACCAAAATATTCATTCAATATATACGGACTTTAAGACAGGCAAAGTATGGTGTCCTAGTTTAAAATTTGTTTATGGACTACACAGAAATAAGTTTCAAAAATAAGACGAACCAAGACAATGGCTATTTATTTTTTCGATTTTAATCGGATGAGGCTTAAGGAAAAATATGTTTGAATTGGTTAGGTCAGACAAAAAATTAAAAAAAATTTTTCTCCGATCGGTGCAGAGCAGACCCGAAAAAATAAGTCCGATGCGTAGCCCAATTTTTAATAAAACTAACAAACCCAAAATTAATTTATAAAATTTTAATCTTCCATTTCCATTCTTTTATTTCTCTCCCTCTATTTTTTAATGAAAACATGAGGTATCATAACGCCATCTTTCAAACTACCAAAAATAATTTTGTTATTTTCTATATTTTTTTGTATTTATTTTGTATTTTTATTTATTTTTGACAAAAAAATAATAAAAATCTTCATGTAAATAAAAAATTAATAAAATATGTTGTGTTCTAGTTGTTTAAAAAAAATACAGCTGTGCAGTGAGAATGAAGATTTTATGGTTTTTTAAAAAATAATGGATGATAAAAAAACAAATATAAGGTTTTTATTTTCCAAGAAAAATATTGATATGATTTTTCCTGTAAATATTTTTATCCCCAATTTCAATATCCACCAGGTCAGCCAAAACCAATTCCGGTCTATCTCATAAAAAATTTATCATGGATAGTCAGCACAGTACCATGGTCATATAGCTCAAAAGAGCTTCTTCTGTGTTTTATGTCGAGTTGAAAAGAAATCTGCAAATATTTAAATTACATTTTTTTGCCCACTGAGCAAAAATGTTTGAAGATCACAAAATTGAAGATTTTTTAAAATATAAATTTTTTTAAAAAAAATTGTAATTTAAAGATTTACTTGTAAAATATTTTTTATCGGTAAAAATTGGATCGAATAACCTGTTTAAACATTCTCAAGATCTTCAGATATTAAATCTTAGAGCATTTCAAACTCTTGCTCTAAAGACATAAAATCAGGCTCTTTTCAAAAAATCATGTGAGTTTTATCATTTAACCACAAGAAAATTCATGATGTTCATATATGTCCTGGAGTTTTGAAAAGTTATTACTTAAAATCCTGTATGGTATGGATTTTTCATTAAGCATAATTTGGCTCAACAACATTAAAATCAAGTTTATTTTTTTAAGTGGTTTTTGAGCTAGATTTCTTTTAAAATCAATTTTGAATCAGCTAAAAAATTTTTAAAAAAACACCCGGACCATATATTTTAAAACAAAATATTTAAAATCGTCATCATTATCTATAGAAATTAATAAATATAATGTATTCTAAAAATATCCGGGTCGGGCCTATTAATATTGAATCAATAACGTAAAATTATATTTTCTAATAGTATAATTTATTTAATAAAAATATATTCCAAATTTGTTTCTTCAGATGAATTAACTCTGCCCTGGGCACAGCATGAAACATTTTTTTACATCAATAAAAAAATTGAGTGCCATAAGTCTACACTTTGTGGATGTAGAATGTGCCCTAATTCATATATTTCAACCTCGATATCCAGCAGCTCAAATCTAAAATAACACATGAAGTTAAAAATATGAATTCAGATTTAATTCGATAAGGAAAAAAAAAATTGATTAGGATCTGAATGAAAATTCTTTGATCTAATTTTTGAAAATAAAAATCCTTCTTTAAATATTTTTAATAAATTCCCCCATTTAAAATCTCTGCACCAGTTGAACGTGTGTTTAACACAGCGAAAGTTGTGCTGAGCTCTAAGCGCTCTTATTTATTTATCTTATCAAAATTTTGAAAATCAATTGCTGTGAAATTCCTTTTTTTCAAACGAAAAGAGTAATCCGCATTCACAGTTAGCGCGAATTCGCTGCGAAGTGTAAAAAATATAAATAAACAAAATACAGCATATTTTGCATTCGCCGGGAATTCTTACTAAATGTAAATGCAGGGGAACCTCTCACTCATAATTAGCGCGAATTCGCAGTGGAGATTATAAAAATACAGCGTATTTTTTATAATTTGCCGCAAATTTGACTATGAATGCAGTGTAACACGTTTCTTTTTCGAAGTAACGTTTACAGCACTACAAAAATGTAATGTTTAAAAAATAAAAAATAAAATTATTAAAGAAAGGCTAAAATTTATAAATTATTTTTTGTTTTTAATCATTACAATACAATATTATGGATACAATGACAAAAATATATGGTATATAAAAAAAATAAACTTAAATTTTTGATCATTACTGCGATTTGAGGATTTTGAAAATCCATCATTCATAATAATCAATTGGAATATTATTTAATAATGAATGCTCAAACCTCAAAGCATAAAAGAAATATTTGATGCTGCTGCTTCTAGTGGTCTTGATAAAAAAGCTATGAGGTCTGTGCTCAGGTTAAAAAAAACTTGATAGAGAAATGAATTACTGCACCGATTAAAGAGTTATTTCATCTATTTTCTAAAATAATTTTAAAAATGATAGCGGTGTTCAATTCTCCAATATAGTGAATTTGCTTTAACTCTCATAGCAAGTGAAAACTGCTCAAGTTGCAATGTTGATCGAGCATACCTTTTAGCATATAAAAAGATTTCAACAAGAATAAGAATGGATAAAAATATTTAAAGTGTATGTTAGACAAATTAGAACATTAATTCTGGAGGATTTTCAAAGAAGAGAATACATGGTTTCTAAAAATTTCCTTCTAAATAATTATAATATAAAACGCATTTTTGGTCATTTTTCTACTATAATCCCTAATCATATATGTTTTTGCTGAAATCAAGTATATGCATTAAATAATTTTCCTTAGAATTTAAAAATATGTGCACTATTCTCATTAGCATGGCACACAGAGCTTTAATAGATTTTTTCAATCCCAGATTTTCTTGAACTTCTATGAGTTCTTTATGGCTAATCAATGATGAGGAAATGAAATTATGAATGTTTGAATGCTATAAAAAAACACCTGAAGGGATAGCTTCAAATGTAATCATTATCACAAGATTGTGTTCATGAACATAACAGTATAAAGCTCAATTATTTTCTTTCTCATTACTAATGATGATAAAATTAATTTTGGTTTGGACAATTTTAAGATATTTTTAAAATGAATAAAAATTAAATTATATATTTGCATCGTGCATTTGCATTTTTTGGTCCATGTGTGTCCTAGTAGCTCAAGGCAAAAAAATTGGTGTTACCAACAGATTTTTTTGCTGATTACCCAGGCACCACTGCAGCGGCGTATCCAGGATTTTCTTATGGGGGGGGGGGGGGGGAATTTTTGGGGGGCTTTGCTTCCAAACCCTCTTAGCTGGCCTTCAGCCAGGTCTTATGTTTTAGCTATTCTATTAAATTATTCATAATTTAATAATAATTATATATTTATTTTTAACTTTTATTTACTAATTTGTGCATATCGATATTACAAGCCTATTTTTTATTATTTTAAGTTAGGTATGTTATATTTAATAAAGTTTTTTTAAATGTAAAGTTGAAATAAAGTTTAATGTCATTTTATTTTTAAATTTGCTTTAAAAACTAGCCTCAGCCTAAATTCTCATACAATATAAGTAGAATAAATTATTTTTTTTTATTGAAAATACTAATTGCACAGTGTATAAAATATTGACTAGAAAATAATTTAAAAAGCATGTTTTTATAACTTCTATCAAATACAATATTATCAAAAAGTTTATTAAACACTATAACTATATTGTAATTTTTAATTTTCGTGTGGATGTTGCCAATTCATCTAGAATTTCGTTCGTCGTTGGAACTAAATCTCAATGAATATTTAACATAGCTAATCCATTTAGCCGAGATTCTGAAGTAGTACTTCGTAAAGATGTCTTCAGCCTTCTCAAGTTTGAAAATGTCCTTTCATTCGTGCATGATGTAATAGGCAAACATGCAATAATAAAATATAACTTAAAAATATTGGGAAATTGAGCCAACATGCTCAGACATATTTAAATTTTGTATATCTTCTATTCTAAAGAAAAATGAAAAATTAGATATTTATTAATAATTAAAATATTATTAAAAATACTTATTAATTCTAAGTCACTAACTAATAATTTTAAATTTCATAAAATAAATACATTTAATAATAAATTATATACTGTTTGATTTCAATATCTTTGTCTTTGACTAAAAATTTCTTTTTTATTAATATTTTTGAATAATGTTAATGTAATCACAAGGAAAGAAAATTTTTTAAAAATTTACTTATAAAATTTTGATTGGGGGGGGGGGGGGGGGGGTAAAATTTTTATTAGCTTAAAATGATATTTATGAAAACAGTCAAATTTGCGATGGGGGGATTTCCCCTTTCCCCCCCCCATTGGTTAGACACCTGCACCACTGTGACCTATCTTCAGATACTGCTGCAGGCCCCCTGTCTATAATAGGTAGGAAAATTCCTTGTGTTGTTAAACACTAGAAAAATATTATGCAAGCCTAAAGATATAGATGGCTTAAGGTTTGGACATCTATAAGAAAAATATTAAGGGTTGGGGAATATTTTTCTGACTAAAATATTAAGCTTGCCATTTTTAAAACTCAAATCGAGCCATTGAACAACTATAACTCATTTATAAACTAAGAGGATGTCTATCTAAAACATTAACAACATATGAACCCCCTTCCTTCTCCTATGTAAGAAAACCATGGGCTGTTACGAGATTTAGGCCTAATATAGACAAAAAATAAAAAATTATGAAATATACCCCTCTCCTCTTACAAATAGGAATTCTTGGTTAGGTTTATCATATTTGAAAAAAAAAAATTTTGATTAAATATTATTATAAATTATTAAATTTATAATTTTATTTTGTATTGTAAAATATATTCAAAATAATTTAAATCTAAAATAATAGTAATTACTCTCTAATTTTTTGTAATCGTTGTTCTTCATCAATAATATATTCATTTAACATAGAAAGGCATTCCTTTTTGGAATAGAGGAGATTTTGTATGTCTGCCATTGAGGTAAAGATATCCTCTGATTTTACATAATTCAATAGCTGTAAATAATAAAATAGAATTGAGATTAGCCCGATTTTAACATTATGGAAGCCCATGCTGCTTAAAATTTCCATTCTCTAAAAGATTCAAAAAAAATATAATTAAAATTATGTTGATGGAAAATGTTATCAATAAATATAGGCCATAAGGTCAGACAATAATTTGGACTATTATTTTTTTTAAAAAAATACCTTCAATTTTTTGAACACTCCAATCGAATCTGTGAATGGTGAACGTGACTCAAATAAAACATATGATTAATTAATAGCAAAATTAAGAAAATAATTAGTGCATGTCAATTAATTATTGGAAAATATAAATACGATTATATTAAAAATAAGATATCATATATGTAAATCTTTTTGAAAATTTATTATTATTTTTTACTTCTAGGTTTAAAAACATAGATTTCAATATTTATATAAAATTAATTAATTTACTTTATCCTTTTTCAAATATTAAATGATAAATAAACTTAAAAAGATCACAATTTTATTGTGAAAGTTTGATTAAATAAATCTATCTATTTGCAATTAACCGATATATATGAATTTAAAAGGAACTTTAAAACTTTAGAGTTTATCTAATATTTCTCACTTGACTTTGACACTGTAACTCTGCCTACCGAGAAGGGTTTAGTAGCGGCTTCTTTAAGTAAAATTTTTAAAATGGCATTTTTTTCATACACTTAAGAATATTGCATTTAATCGCATTCAATTCAATTTCAACTAATGCGAGTTAAAATATGTAACTCTATACAAAATTATAGGCCTAATGTAATAAAAGAAAAGATATTGCGCCAGCTATTATAAAATGTTATTATATCAACTGTAGTGATTACTGTATATATTCTTTATTACGTTGAAATAATAATATTCTGGTTCACATTCTAGGGTATCGGTTTCTATCTATACTCTAATTTATTTTCAAAGAATCATTTCTTATAGGTTAATGCTTTTTAAGTTATCGTTTGAGTAAGCTTTAGATGTTTTTAATAGAATTACAATCTTGGAGCATGGTAACATTGATATTATGATCTTTTCATAGTTTTATATATTAGGCAGTGTGTAAACGAGATTCATTTTGCTGAAAATGAATTGAGAGCAAAACTTCCTCTAGGAGCTTTTCACTATTGCAACCCTAAGAAACAAAGTGGTTCTTTGTATTATAAGTAATCCGATAGAATCAACTTGTTACTTATAATCTTTATTTCTATAGACCCAAAACCCCAAAACATGGATTCATTGGACAATATTGTTTTTTACAATTGCTCTTTTATCTAATTTATGTAAAGCCTAATTTAATATTTTCTTCCTTTGCAATGATGTTGATAATAATTTTTAGAATCTTCTCCTCTTTTAAATAGGTTATTTTTAGAAGTTCTCCATTTTTAATAAGCTCTTAACTCCATATTTATATATTTATGTAATTCTTGAATGGTAATATTAAATTATGGCTAATTTATTTGCCTTATTTTTTACAGAACTTTAGCAAGTTAAAGGGAGGGAGGGGGCACAAGGGCTCGAATTCCCTAAAAAATTTGAATAATCCTGTCAAAATTTTGATTATTTTTAAATACTAAATGTAATTTTGATAATGTTAGCCAAAAAATAAAATACCTTGACTAACGATTCATTCATTAAAATGCATTTTTAAGCGTCGTTAAAAGCAGCTGGACCCGCTATTTTGGTAACACATATAGTAATTATTCTCATGTTAAAAACTACTATTAAATTGATAACTTGCTTCCTTATTATCTCGATTATCCGGTAATTCTTTAATAAAGTTTGCACCAGATATAGGAATAGATTAGGCTCTCGTTTAAAATTTAATAATAACTAGTGTAACCAAGATGGCGTCTCCAGCTGATTTATGTACACTTTTAATGAATGAATCGTCAGTCTAGGTATTATATATGTCATTGAGATAATGTTACCCATAAAAAAGAAGGCAATTTTGGATTGAGCCCCCTGAGATTGTAAAGTTTTGTGACGCCTCTTGGACACTTTTTATTAATGAATCCTCAATCTAGTGGTTATAATATACATCATTGCATTTCAGTGATCTTAGGTCCGAATATCTTTACATAAATAAATTTTTTATTAATATCATATATGTATTATTATAAGATTTTAATATTTTTAAAGAGATTGATGATTATTTTCAAGGTTGGATATTAATTTAAACTAAAAATCAAGGGTGATCAGATATCAATGAGGTGTGGTGGTATATATTCATTATTTCTATTCTCTGATATCATGTTAAGACATTAGCGTTACTGTGTGGGGGGGGGGGGGCAGGACTTAAGTTCTATGAAATTTTTATAAATTATTTTAAAAAAATAAGACATTTTAAAAATGTTTTCTAAAAAAATCCGTTTTTTTAAAGTTAAGCCATCTTAGATTGAAAGGCTATTGACGCCATTGCATTAAGATATTACATTCTAGTATGTATATTTTATGATTTCACCGGACACCCCTCCCCTCTACGTGAGTTAAACTTATATCCCTTTGCATAAACACTTTATGATTCTAGTAGACACTCTAGCATCACCCCAAATTATGAGGCTATCTACCATACCATAGACTAAGAATAAGTCAGGCGATGTTAGTGGATCAACGAGATTGATAATCTCTCATTAAACTTGAATAAGGGTATTGTTGTAGCCGTTAAAAAAAAGAAGAAATAAATTTAATATAATATACTAAATGTCAGTTATTTTCTGATATTAATAATTAATTTTTCCTTAGTGATGATTGATTGAGGTTGTGAAGGGGAAGGATTTTGGGGGAGATCACCTGATGCAATTGTTGTTGGGAAGAAGTGACAAGGATATCAAGACCGAACGAAGAAACAAAATGATTATATAATTATATTGATAATATATTGGTTGTTTTAGATATATTAGATGACTGTTTTGGATACATTGTATAAATATATGGATAATAAATATTACACATTAAATTGAGATTGATAAATTAATAAATATTAACCATTGAATGAAGATTGGTAAATGAATTGGTAAGTAGGAGATTCAATAAGTATCTCATTCAAATTAATAATATCTCAATTATAAACCAGTTTGAAATATTCAAAACAGATTTCTTTGAAATTTAGACTAAAATCCCCATCTGTTATAGATAAATCTTGTAAATTTTATGCATAAAAGATCTTTCATTATAAAATGTCAAATTTAAATTTTTTTAAAAAAATCTTCAATTTTATGATCTTCTATATTTTTTCCCAAACTCTGTTATAAGCAATGTTTTAAAATATAAATATAATGCTATAAATTTATGTTTTCGTTTTTGCAAATTTGCTCACATGGAAAAGTAGAGTAAAACTAGGTTTTATAAAATAATAAGTTCAAACTGCAGGGAATAGGTTGTGGTGGTATTGATTGGGAAAGTTTAGAATTGATATGAAAGAATAAATCAGGTTGAACGAGAATTTTATTTCTAAAAGGAATAAATTTTGTATCCGAAATTATTAATATCACAATCGCCGGTATATAGTCAAAATTGTCTCCCTTTATATGGTATAATATCGCCTCAGACAGTAAAATATACTTTTAAATATTATTTTTATTAATAATTCGGATACAATATTTATTAATAATTCGGTTACAATATTTATTTCTTTTAAAAATAAAATTCTCGTTCAACCTGATTTATTCTTTCATATCAATTCTTAACTTTCCCAATCAATAACACCACACCCCAACCGAATCCCTACATGGTAGAGGATAGGGGCACCGGCTTATTGGAAACTAATGCGGAAGGAACCCATATACTTCCTTCGCTTGCCTGGTATGGTACTGAAGACCGAGAGACGCTTTAAAAGAAAAATTGATGATAGACACGATATAAAAAAAATTTTGTATTAAAGACAGCTGAATATTGAAAATTTTATAATCATATATTTTTTTTTAGTCAAGTCTTTTAAATTTTTTTTGTTGTTGAACATTTAAATTAGTAAGCATAATTTTTAATAACAATGATTAGCATTTTAATGTAATAGTAATATATAGAAAGGCCTTTATAATATAATATTAAAACCATTATTGGTAAATGTTGTTATATTATTAATTAGTTTATATATCGTGTAATTTATACCACGATATAATTACAAGAATAATCTATTATGGATAGCTATATTGGCCCCTCACCAGTAGCTCATATATAGTGTAATTGATACTTTTATGTTAAGGGTATAATTACAAAAAAAACTCTTATGGATAGCTATATTGACCTCTCCCACCCATTTTCTTTTATTTGTTGGTATACTAATTATTATTTCATTTTTTTCCCAATATATCTACTTACTACCCCATTAAAATGTATTTGAAAAATTCAACTTTTAAAAAATAATGTTATAAATTATTTAAGGAAAAAATATTACCTTCTCCAAAATAATGTTATATTTAGGGTTTTTTTAAATTAATTATTTTAAATTTTAATTGGTGCATGTAGTTACATGTTTGTAATGTTTATATTTTCCTCTCTGGTGCGTTTCATATTATGTTCAATTGATTTTAAAAGTTTATATTTTACTATCTGATGATATATTAGATATATATATATATAAAACGACATAATTTAATATTTAAAAAAAAATTTAATTTTGACTTGATACCAGAGATTGTAATATTAATATCGGATACAATATTTATTCCTTTTAAAAATAAAATTCTCCTTCAACCTAATTTGTTCTTTCATATCAATTCTAAACTTCCCAATCAATACCAACCCCTGCACAAACGATGTAAATTGATTTCTTTTATTTCCATCATAGTTTTCAATAAAAAGGGTAGTGTATAGGGAAACTAGTCCTCGAAAAAAAAACGAGCTACAAATAAAGTAGCCTGCTGCTTTACCAACATTGCCCCTAATCTCGCCCATGAGGTTGATTTTAAAAAAAGTGGTGCCATCCGAGATCAACCCCGGGTCGTTCTATGTGTCAATCAAGGTTTCTAACTTATTTAAAATAATTTATTTGTATAATAATCAAATAAAAATGAATTGTGAATAAGTTTCCAAAATTTTTAAGTGTGAAATCAAATGAGAATATTATATTAGTCTAATATCATTAGAAATATTTTTCAATAACTTCTCATTTTTTTAATTATTATTCTTAATTTATTCTCGATTTAATATTTTCTAAACCCGGTGACGTGACGATCTCGAATTCGAGTATATAATTATATTTCGGGAGAAATAATATTTGATTGATTTAAGTCTATGTACACGATTAAGTTAACACAACGATTAAACTCGTTAATTTTTAATATACTTTATATCACCTTGAACGAAAATTTTGTGTTACTTTTATTGAGCTCCATCCATGTAAGCCGAAAAATTTGATTATGGTCTATTACATAAATCTCTATTCGTCTATTTATAATCTTATGACCTGTCAGATTGGACAGGTTATTTAAAAAGGATTAAATTTTATAACAATTTTTTATATATTTTGCCCTTAGCCCATATCTCTCAAACTGTTAATTATCCCTAATCCATTTATTTCTAATCCTACTCCTTACTTCAGATTCTTGTTCAATTGTAAATATATTTCCTCAAATTAACTTCTTCAATTAAACCTTAAGTTTGAGTTATTATCAAAAAATGAAGACACGTAATGCATCAACTTGTAACTACCACATAAAAGGGGTAACGTCTTTGAATGGCTTTTTTGCGCATAAATTTTATTGAAAAGCTTTATTCTTAGTATAGGCCTTTGGCGATGTTACATCTTAAAAATTTATTTTGGTTTTTCATTTTTTTAAAATATTATTAAGTGCATATTTTCTGAAAATTGAGTTATTATTTTTAAAAATTATAAACTTTTTTTAAAAAAAAATTGTTTAGAGTAGTAAGATATTGTATTTATTGCAAATATTTTTGGGGTGTGGTAGATATATTCTATTAGCTTTATATTAATATTTAGGAAAACGGCAAATTTAGAAATTAGAAAAATTATACACCAATTATTGTATAATGATCTTTTTAAAATAAATTTTGTAATAATAATAAAAAAATGTCAAACATAAATTTTATAATATAATAAAGCTCAAAATCTCAGAAAATACTAGGGCTATAATGAGTTACTTATAAGTAGTGTTATAAATACAACTAATTTTCTGAGGGTAATATATATAGATTAAAATAACGCGAAATTTATTAATTCATAATCAAATATAATGTACAAATTTATTATTAAATTATATGTAATTTTTATTTATAAACAATTGATTGTAAAATAATGTCTAATGATGATAATGTTTGATCATAAAATTGCACCTTAAATCCGACAAAAAAATAATCTGTTTTAGATAAAAATAATCGATTTAAAAAAAATAATTAAATATACCCTGAATTTAACTATGCATTGTTTAACTGAAGTGTTATTTGTTTTAAAAATATCGATTTAAGACAATGGCGTTTTGGGGGGGGGGGGGGCAATAGAGCACAAACCTTTTTAAAAACTTTAGAACCATCTAAAAAAATTTATTTGGATATGGATTTTAATAGAATTACCGGTTTTGCCAAATTTGAAAAAAGTGGGCACCCTTTGTTGAAAGACTAACAACGTCATAAATTTAAGAAAAATAATATTAAAAAAATATCTACTAATATTTAAATTTTTAATTGTTATATAATTATACGATTGAATACGTAGGTTGTAACTTGTATATTTAAAAAAATATATATAACAAAATGAGTAGAAGTGGTATAGATCTTTACGATTGAAATAAATTGGACTTTATAAGTTCGCGTTTAATTTGCAAGGTCTTGTAAATTCCTGGCCTATCTCGTGAATCCATTTATTAGAAACTACAAAAGTTTTAAAATTTATATTATATTACTTTTAAAGCAAAGTTAGGAACCTGCAATAAAAATAAAGGTTAACCAGTTCTACATTTTTTCAAAATATCATTCTGGTTTTACCAAAAAAATATGAAAACAATAAATAAACTCTAAAATGAATCGCTAAGCATTTCGAACACTCGCAATTTTGTTACTGACTATGGAATTAGTTCTTGTAGATTTAAAAATAGAGGTTTCCGATTTTGTTTATTAGATTTGTCCCGGTTTTAAGGGTTTTGGTTCAAGCTCTAGTTTTAAGCAGAGATGCGTCGATACCATAGATACCTTAAATTTTAACTCATGGCTGATGCTAAGATAAATTTATTATTCAAGAAAATATATATTTGAAATATATTTTTAAAAAACCAAAAATTAGATCGGTCATGGGTTACTTTATTTGAATATTTACTATTACATTTATATTTTAGATCATTATTTAATAGTGCTGTAAAGTAATGTCGTTACCAACGACGTTACCTTTTTGAAGAAAAGGAACGCCTTTCGATACCTTCTTCGTTTCTTTTTTTGCGTAAAGGTAACGCAAAATGTTACTTAAAAAATACGGAAAACACATATTTTATTGTATTATAAAATTATTTATATTTATTTTTTAAATTTTATAAAATAATTTAAGCCGAGTTTTTAATTCAGATCAACCACCAAATTCTTTCATTTTTATTTTAAATTTTCAGTCAAGATTGTTAATCTAATTAATATCGAATCAAAAGATTATTAATTTATATCTTATTCTCATTATAATTTATTTTATAAAGAATATTATGTCAATTGTACATATTTCTTCAGATGAAGATGATTAAACCTGTCCTGGCCCCAATTGAAAAACATTTTTTACACCAATAAAAAATTAAGAGCACAAACTTACACTTTGTAAAATTCTGTCCCAACTCTAATATTTACTCAATTATGGAATAAATATGGGTAGTCTCGAAACTGTGCAGCCATTTTTAAGGAAGAAATGGGAAGGTATCTGATTAAATCGGTTATAACAAGATGGATCTTTTTACTCCTTAAAATGAGTAGGTTTAAGGAGAATATTCAATATGAATCTTGTGATAAATCCGAATTGCAGAGATTTTCATATAATGACAAGTCGATCATATATATTTTGTATGGTTAGTGGTAATTAAAAAATATGATATGTACAAATGATTTTATATGTTATGAAACCTAATGCTACGGTTCTTTCGATTTTATAACATTTGTAATATCTTATTCCCACGATAACTATTAAATTGCTTTAAATAATTTCAAGTTTTGTAAGCCCCTTATTAATACAATCCTGCAAGACCTAGATAAAAGGTATAGAGTTGAAATATTGTTTACATTTATTTTCAATAGATTCGAACACATCATTAATTCACCCTCTACTTAAATTAGATTAACCCTGAATAAAATTATTAATAAGTGAAGGTATAAAGCTTAACTTATTTCTAGTTTGTGAAAATATCTTGACAAAGAAAAAGCAGACTTTAATTCCTATAAAAAATAACACATATCAGATTATTTTGTGATAAAGATAAAAAAAATTTGATGAGGATCTCAATAATGATGATTCTTTGATGATTCTTTTGAAAATAATCTTAAGCTTTTTTCAAAATAAGGATCATTCTTTAATTTTTAATAAATTCTCCCAATTAAAATATTTATTTATTAAATAAAATACAACCCTCCCATCCTCTGCTTCAGATGAACGTGTGTTTAGCATGACGAAAGATGTGTTTAGCACTCATTTGTTTATATGATCAAAATTTTGAAAATCAAATGTAAAAAATAGATAAAAAATTATTATAAAAAGATCTCGTCTTTTATAATATATTATATTTGTATAATTTAATTTATATTATATATAGTAAATTTTTATATAAAATATTTAATTTTTCAAGTAACGAGTAATACGTTACTTCTGAATAGCCAGTAACGCGCGTTCCTTTTTTCACAAGGTAACGAGTAATGGTAACGCATTCCTTTTATTGAGGTAATGAGTAACGCGTTTCTTTTTGAAGCAACGTTTACAACACTATTATTTAATGATTTGACAAACATAAATTTTGGGTTAAAATATGGTAGCTGGCGGAAAGAATTTATAGGTTGATTTTTCATATTTAAAATATAATTTTTTAATGACAAACTGCATGATTTTAGTTTATGGCACCTTTAACAATATAAGGTATCGGTGTATATCTGCTTTTAGAAGTAAATAAAATTCAATATAACCCCTACTATTTATACCTATAATATTTGGGAAAAATAATGGTCAGTATTTTTTAAGATATTTTATCAGTATAAATGAATAAATTTGGCATTAATATTCCCCGGAAATTTTTTTTATAAATCTTAGCCATATCAAATAAATTAATTTTATTCTTAGACCACATATTGGATAGAACATTACTGTTAGTCAAAAAGGCCAATAACAAATTGAAGTTATGATCCGTGGGTAGTGAGATGAAGCCCGTTGTGCAGGAAGATATATTAAGGAATTCAAAAAGGGGGAAAATTTTCTCTTACGCACTTATTTACTTTTTGGTGATGAAGAGGCGTAATATATTGATGATTAGAACATCTATAAAATTTGTTTGCATTTTGTAGAATACCATATGAAAGTGTGACGACGCCAATCCATTTTGCATTGGCTGCTATTTTTCAAAGTAAAGAGGGAACATTTTACCATAAAGGATAATCTGATAATGATGGACGTCATTGAAAGATTTCATCCTTTTATAGATGTCGCACATATTCCGAAAATCCAGGGTCCCTTGCCTATCCCTTTTGTTACTTCAACAACTAGCTAACGCAAATGGAAGAAAGGTTAAGTATAATAAATACTAACATCTAGTGAACCCTAAGTTAGTGTATCTGGTTATACTATCTTTTTTTTAGAAGAATAATAAAAAATAAATAAAAAAAGAGTGTTCTTTTTCAACAATTAATTAGATGATGCGAAACACCATTTTAAAAAAGTCACTATATCTCTGAAAAAGGTCACTATGAAAAAAGTTTTAAATTTTATTTTTTTACATTTTAAACTTTTTTATTGTTCAAAAATTAATTTTCTACTTTTTTCAAGAATAATCAATTTTATTCAAGTATTTGCCTTCCCCAGGTGTCATTTTCTTCCATACTTTATAAATATAAAATCTTTTGAGGAGATCATATTAAATAATGCGTCGTCAAGCTGATCTGTTAACAAGTCTTTCGGTGCAATTTATCCACGTCGAATATCTACCTTCGAACAATGACACACAGCAATGTAGTCACCTTCGTTCATTGGTAAAATGGATAAATGAGGCCACGAATGGTTAGAAACTTATCCAAGCATGTTAAATTAATATCTTTTGACAAATAAGGAATTTAGATATTCTTTCTACCAGGCTAGAGTTAGGCAGATCTCTACCTTACAACTGGCAAAGTAATGGTTGATTCTAAAACTAGATATCCACTATAGGCACAAAAGAATTAAGTCAAAAATTCATTTAAAGCCAAAAAATATTCACATCTAGCCAACAATATATTTATATCAACCGTGGTATAAATAAACTGATCATTAGGAAAGAGGCGAAATCCGCAATCAACCAAAAGAGCCCTTAAACAACAATCTTGAGGGCCCTTATGATCAAACAAAAATCAGCTTTGAAATTCTGTTATAATGTTAAATTATTTAAGGATTCATGGCCATCACAAGAGTAAGATAACTATCTTTTAACTTTTTGAATTAATATGTTTTTGAAATTTTATTGTTATTTCATACATAGTTAACATGTTATTTTTAATTACTTTATATAATATCAATTATTAAATTAATAAACTAACACTATTTTTAAAAAAATTTATACTGATATATTATTATATAGCATTTTACCTCATAAGTAAAATATAATTTCAAAACTTCAAAGTATTTCAAACTTATTTTCAGGGTGAAGTTAGGAAGATAAAATGCTATAAATAAACAATAATACTGACCATTTAGTATAAAATACTGGTTAATTTAATTTATCGCCAAAATAAATCATACCCCATTTAGAGCCGACTAAAACGGGACATGCTGCATGTATAGTGTCGAAATCACCTTTACCAGAAGCTTTTAAATTGTACCAAAATGCGGCAGAGCCCTAATATATATGTTTAAATTCAAAGTAAAAACCATTGATAATAAAACGTAAAATTATTCATGTTTAAATTAATGTAAACTAAAAGGCAAACTTTCTTCGGCGATAATCTAACCCCTGCCAATGGAAAGACAGTAGCTCCACCGGCAACAACATCACTCATCTAGTTGTTTTTAAGAAATTGAAATTAGATAAAAATTATTTTTAAAAAAAAGACTTAGACATTGACGATTTAAAGGAATAGTAAATGGTTTTATGGAACAAAGGTCAACGAATCCTAGCCAATTATAAATTACTGTTGTTAAAGTAACAAATTAAATCTTTGAGGAAAAATAATACATTTTGGAATGTAACAACAAAAGTAACTAGTACTTTTTTAAATATGTTTAATAATCTTTCTTTCTTTACTTTATTATAATTAATTTCTAAAATATATTCTCTCTAAGAACAGAAAGTAACCGAAATTTATCATATAAATATGATGTTTCCCAAATTTAAAATTAATGTTTATTAATATAATGTCATAATTATATCAATCGCTCCTGTAAAATTAGTTCTGTGATGTTTATTTTTTAGGAGAAAAAGGAGCATGCTTAAATTAGAGATCAATTATGAAAATGGTTTATTGTTAGAATCTAATAAAAATTTATCACGTTCAAATTTTTATAATAAATATTTGGTATTTTTTCAATGCAAATATTTCTCAATTTAAATTTGAATTTTTTTTAGGAAATTCAATTAGTAATGGCGCTATTTAAAGGTGGTTTAGTGAAGATAACGATCCGGTCTTTGACCAGGATCGATAGGCACGGGCTGGGCCATTTTGAATAAAAGGCCTGCCCAGACCGTGGTCCTTAATAAAAAGACCGATCCAGTACCGTTTTAATTTTTTTCCACATATTTTGTTTTATGATTTTATTAAATATAAAAGTATTTTATTAAATATAAAATATTTTATCTTAACAATATCAAATCAAATATGAATAATATATTAAATAATACAATTACTTAATTTAAAAGTAAAATGCTTTTTGACAAACATTTCGTTTTCATAATAAATTGCAATAAAAATGAACTAAAAAAGAAAAAAAATCACAAAAACTAAAGTAACTCATCTAGAAAAGTAATATAAAATAAATATATACAAAAAATTCCTAAAAATCAAATAATAAGCCAAACTTTAAAATTAATAAAAGAGCAGTCCAGACTGAAGGGAATTAAAAGACCGGTCCGGACTGCAGGTCTTTGAAAAAAGACCAGGTTGTCCATCGATCCAGTCTGGTCCTGATCTAAAAACGATAAAACCGGACCGTTGACCTTCACTAGCAGTTTGTATTAATATTAACAAGGATCAACACTTAGCAAGCGAGGGTATGGATAAGAAATACTGTTGATAAATGCAATAAGCTCTTTTTTATTCTAAACTAATAATTATATCTCAAGAATTTTATATGTATTTTAAACGAGAAGTAAATGGTAAATATCAAGTCTTTTTATATAAAAATAGTATGTCCTTAAAGTTATTACTATAAAGTTGTTAAATATAAAGAGCCTAGTTTAGATCAAATAATATATACAACTATTTTGAATATTATAAAATAAAAACATTTTAACGATTGGTATTATGTTATAACTACAAAGATGATATTGAAAATGATGAGTTATAAAAATTATTTATAGAATAATTTGCAATATAATGAGTTACCTTTAAAAATGTAACTAGTAAGTAGTTACTCTTCAAAAGTAACTTTAAACATCATTAAAATAAATAGCTTTGATGAATATATGCTAAATTAATAACTTTGATGAATATATGTAAAATAATTCTTACGTAAAACATCCAAGTAGCTATTCTCTTGCTAATATAATTTCCATTATCATCGTATTGGTCATTCTAAAGTGTACACAAAGATGTCAAAGAAACATAATAAAATTTTATTAATAAAAAAAATAATATATAATCTCTTATCAATAGTGATCTGCATCCGGGATAATTTTTCAAGCCCAACCCAGCCCGAATTTTTTTTAAAATTATTAGGCCCAACCCAGTCCAAACCGTAATTATTTAAAAAAAATATGGGCTTCGGGTCTCGGTACGGTTCGTTATTTGCAGATCGCTATTTCGCAACTCAAAAAGGTGGTATTTTTTTCTAATTTAAAGGCTTCATACATGCGAAATATCAAGTAGTTGGTATAGATCTAGATGAAGAATTAGATAAGATAACCATCGACAATACGGGCATGAAATAAAGCACGAATAATAGAAAGCATCGAGTGTAAAATGCATATGAAGGGCATCATTTAATTATCAAAATAGGTAAAAACTTGCAGGATACCATTTTTTCGACGTAACAAAAAAAATAATTAATAAATAATTTGTTTTTTCCATTATACCAATCTTATTTTATTCTCATTTTTAAAATATTTGTTCAAAATTTTGAGCGAAAAAAATCTTCAAATGCTCATTTAAAGATTTTGTTTATTAAGCCCTGCATTTTTAAAATGATAAAAATCACGTAAAACGCTAAATATGCAAAAGGCAGATGAAATATCGGAGAAAAAAGCAAAAATATGCAAGAAACACACTAATATGGAAAAACTAGCCAAATGCCGCACAAAGTACATATAATTGTGCAATATGAGAAGCATACAAGCGGACGTAAAAAGGACACAGAATATGGATAAAACATAAAAAATAAGGCAAAATATTGCGAATTTAAGCAAAAAGTAGGCGAAATGATGCAATATCCAGTTCCATGCAAATGAAATAAAATATGCATAAAGCATGTTAAAAATATTAAAAGTAAAAGTATCTAAAATGAAATACTAAAAATTTAATTGATTTTCTGAATTTTTTGATAACAAAAAAACTCCTGAATTTTCCCACATTATAAAAATTCTTGCAAGTGACTAGGAGAAACTATAGATTATTTTGAAATAGATTATAAGTGATAAAACTAACAATGAAAATGGTAAATTTTCAATACACTGCGGCAAAATGTATTTTTTACTTTAATTGGACTTTTATTATATCTAAGAGTAAAAATTTTATCGAGATTATCATAGTTTCCTCATATATTATTTTTTAAGGGAAAATTAATTTTTATTTAATATATTTTTCTGAATAAAGCATAAGCTTTTTGTTTCTACTATTTATAACATGGTGTGACATCTCCGACTTCTTCAACCAATCTATAATATATCTATCTAAGTGTAGGTATTCTCAACATCGTAATTCTTAATTTTAAACTTTTCAAACTTAAGAACGTCACGCTCAACTGTGAGACATTATATAATATTATAATACAAAAATAGAAATTTAATACTTTACCCTGGTAAAATCACAATGAGGATCATAATGCCCGCCTATGCCATAATTTGCAACCTTTATAAATTAAATCTATATATATATATATAATCGCATTCGATCATAATTAGAATATATTTCGCAAATCTCAAGATTAGTTATCTTATTTTTATGGGATAGGTTAATTTTATATATATTCATTTTCCTTTCTTGTTAATAAATAGGTTAACCTCGTCATTTATTTTTTATGAAAAAATAAATTAGAGACATTAAAAAACGCGGTCCGAGTAAATTCAGTCCTAAAAACAATTTCTAGAAACTCATACAGAAAATTGAAAAAAAATCTCTGGCCAAAAATTGTAAGCTACCATACCAAAAAACTAAGACTAAAAAGGATACTCCGTCAAAATGATAGGCTTGTGTCAAATCTCGTCAACGGCTTTAGTTTTTTGTGTCTCTTCATAAAATATTGAAACACATTAACGACGTTTTATTTTATTAAGATTTCAAAATAATATTTGATTTTTCTAGCGATATTTAATTTTTTTTAATTATCATCATGGCGTTTTTGCGCTAAATTCAAAAAATATTTTTACAATCTAAACTTGTAAGAAATACAGATAAAGTTAAAAAATTGAAATATATATAACATTTATTTTACAATTATTCATAGATAGAAAGGATAGAATGTTGTCATTAAGTCTTATTTCCAAAATAATAACAATTTAACTCAAGCATAATTTAGGCCCCATTTTAAATGTAAGCAAGGTGAGACATGATTATTGCGATTGGCTTGAATGATTTGAACCTTTAAATATATGTGAATTATTCAATTAATTAATATATTTAAAAAGAAGGCATCTAAATTTTTGGAAATGAAGATAATTTATCGATTTCTTACCAGTTTTTTAGGGTTCTTTCCATCTATGGTAAGAATGATAAATATTCTTTCTTTCTATTTATTAATAAGATATAATAAATATATTTAGATATAAAAGTTATTTCTATCTATAAGTAAATGTAAGATGAAAAATGGCCCTTACACTTTCTGATTGATGGAAGCTTAATACCCCCCCCCCGAAAAAAATCAGTTAATTATTTTTGGCCACCCTTGAAGTTGTAGGAATGGATAATAAATATTAAATATTGATAAATTAGGAAAAGCAGTTAAAGTAAAAGATAAGATAAACGAATAATTTTTCCAGCTTGATTCATAAATCTCAGAATCATTATCATCAGAATAAGAAGCTAAATAATGTATTAATATAAATATTTTAATAAAATAAATTTACAATTCTCAGAATTTAACAAATCTTTAGATTATTTAACCTTCAGGTCATGTGTAATAATTACCCTCATTTTAGCTCTAATATAAATATTTCAAAACTATATTTTTCAAAAATTAGACTTGAACAATAGTAAAATTCACAGATATCCTCTTTAACGATTGACTTTTCTGCCATTCCCTTTGGTTTAAAATATGATGTTTGATTATAAAATTTCATCGATTCAATCATTGAATTTTTTATTAAACTGCATAATGATCAAATCAAGTGCCTAATAAACTGGCTTTTAGCTAAAATAAAATATTATAATAATGAAAGTATATTATCTTTTATAAATTGTATTGTTTGAATGAAGTCTAGAACTTTCAAAATCATAAGGTAGATTTCTCCCCTTCATGAAATCTTGTGCCTTTGAAAAAGCATTTAAAATATTCAGTGTTTAATACAAGGCAATAATTTAAATCATACTTTTCAAACCAATGAAGCAATCTTTTACCAATTGAATTTGATTTATTGCAAACCCCATATCCTTCGAAATGGTTTGCAATTTTGTACAAGCTAAGCTTGCAGTCAGCAATATTTTACTAAAACACAAAGTGATAAAATAAAATTTTTATATTCTAAAAACAATAGCGCTAGCTGTTGAGGTGTTGAACCTATACTTAGTAAGTCATTATTATTATTTATTTCCCTGTAATTATCTTAAATACTTATTATTTATTTCATTGGTTATAATTAATTTATGTATGATTAAATTGTATAAATTGATCTTGTTATTTTTACATGCCTAAGGTATGACTTTGTATTAATCTAGATTGTTTTTCAAACATATATATAGGTAAACGATTATAAAAAGCGATCAATTGTTAAATATCTGATTTTTATAAAAACATAAATAAATTCCTATATTCTATTCCTGAAACGCTAAACACTAGCCATAGTATAAATGGCAGATTCTTCAGAATCCTTTAAATTTGTCAAAGCTGTCCTTAAGGCAATAAAGTATAAAAATTTTTACAGTAGCTTTATATGATGATAGTCAGCTTCTATAAATATAAAATAACATTTAAACAAATAAGATAATATTACCGAATGGTATTCATGATGAGTATAAATAGTTGCCATTTTGTCAGAACATCACTCTGACATACTTTGAGCCCTGCATATCTTTTAAAACCATTAAAATACACGTGAATCTCGTCTTAGAAGATACCTAAAACATCTTAGTTCTTTTATTGATTGCCATAATTGAACAATGATTAGATTTAATCGATAATAGCACTAAATAAAAACAGCCTTTGAGATCTCAGCTCTAATCAAAGTCTGTACTCCTATGATCTTCCCACTCATGTTTGAAGCATCATAGATTTCTCCAACTAAAAATTCGAGGGGTAGATTCATAGAACTAAGTTTGCATATTATATTTATTTTTAATATCAAGATCAGTGGTGCTACCATTTTCAATATATCTTTTACTAACAAATCTATTGCTTCTGATTTCGAAACATCATATGTACCATCAACTGTAATTGAAGAATACCTCTTAAATTCAATCTCTTTTTAAAATTTTTTATAACCATATTTTTCATGGTTTCAATGAGAATATTTATTTTATTATACCACGATTTGGATTATAATCCCTTTTATTTTTTCTTCCTTCTTTTTTCTTCATTTTTTTGAATATATAATTTGAGGACAGGTTCCGAATCCACAATTAGTTTCATAATGTCTTTAAAAGCTACTATTTCAAAGCTTTTCTTTATATCGTTAAAATTTAGCCCACCATGTATTTCCTAATAAGGTCTGTGTCGAATACGTGAATTGAAAAAGAAAAGTTAATTATAATGTTAAAGAAACAGTATATTTGAATATAAAATTTGTAAGGAAAATTGAAATGTTTAAATCGTAGCAAATTAAATGTCAATTATATAAAATAATTAGAGATGGTATGTTAATTTGAATAGTTTAAATAGTAAAATAGAAAATGTAATATTTTGTTATTTCAGAATGATTTTGATTAACTATATATTTTAATAAATCAATTTGGCATCTTCAATTCGTGTTCATAATAATCATTTGTGTTTTAAACAGTCTGTCCATTTATCATCTCTTATATTATGCCGAGTGCAATCATTAATTAAGCATTTATATTTTTTGGTTAATATTATTGGGCATATTTTGAAATTGGAAAAATAATTTTATGATAAGACAAGAAATCTTTTGGTTATGAATGGTGTGATAAAACAAAAAATGAAATAAAATATTAAAAAATTTTAAAAAGTACCCATTCAAATTTTAAAAAGCAATTGCTTCGTACCCCCCCACCTCCCGTTGGGACCACCGAAGATGAATAATAATCTTTCTATTTATTAATAACTTATGAAAATATATTTCAATGTTTAATATATCTCTGAGAATGGGGGTAGCATGGGCTGCCAGAAGATTGGCTGGAAATGGATCGACATCAATTGATATGCGAGAGGTAATCAGTGATGAAGACTTTTAATTTTATTACTAAGCATAGTATTATCCAAAATCTAAAACAAAATAGACACATTAACGTAGGCTAAAACTTGTATTTAGTATCATAAAGATTTAAGATGATGGATTAATGACAAGATCTTATTCTTTCTATCTATGAATAAGATGTAAAATAAATAAATAGCAAATTACATGAATTTAAATGTTTTCATTTTTTTAGATGTAAAAGTTTTTTTTTTTGAATTTCACGCAAATGTGTCATCATGATCATTTAAAAAAAATTAAATATAGATAACAAAGGCAAATATTTTTTTGAAATTTTAATAAATAAAACATCATCAACGATTCAATATTTTATCAAAACCACATAAAAAAAAGAGCGTTTGGCGAGTATTTGTAGCCAAAATTATATAGGGCTTATGGTGCATCAATCCTTCAATAATATTTGGGAAATTTAATATATATATATATATATATTAAACTTGAAGTTCTTCTGCTGTTTCCATCGATAAGCCGGTAATGGCAGAAATCCTTCTATTGATATCTATTATAATTTGATGGTCCTTTTCTTTTAACCAGGCGCTTGACACAAAATTTTACAAATGTATATAATTTATTATATTTAAATTTTACGCAATTTATATATGTTATTATCGTATATTATATACGATATTCATTTAAATATGAATAAATCTCATATCCTAAAATCGGCTAAAGCCCTTTACTGAATATAAAACTTATATAGTATTCAATATATATTCTTTTATGATAAATTTTCGCGCCATACTATTATAGATTTATATTAAATAAATAAATAACATATAGTAATGCATATCATCGAATTGATATACATGCATGCTGAGAGAATGGAATCACAATATATATAAGAAATATAAAATATTATAAATTCATGGATTGGATCATAACATAAAACTCCTAAATAATATATAAATGTCATGCACATATGTTACATGTTATTTTTAATTACTTTTATATAATATCGATTATTAATAAAAAGAACTACAATAGAATTTTTTTATTATTTTCGTAAAAAGTTAAGCGTAATAATACAAGCCTTAAAAAATCATGAGATATTTAAATGAAAAGGCGCAATTATTTAATAACTTTAAATCCATAACAAAATACTAACCTTTTACTTATCCTGTATTCAACCCGTTCATATTTCTGAGTCTTTGAGTCGAAGATTGTAGCTCGTTTCAGCTTTAAAAAATAAATATAATATTATTTTGGGGCAATTATATTAATATTATATAATACATTTTTATATAATATGGGAATTCAATAATGAATCACATTATTAAATGTGTAGGTATCATCAAAACATTGGGGGGGGGGGGTAATTTTTTATATAGAAATGAATTTTTTTGGAGCATTAAAAATTTGTTAGAACTAATCATATAAAATTTATCAGAACCAATCATATTGGAAAATATGATAATTTCGAACACAAATAATGAAATATTGAAAAATACAAAATATTAAGAGCGAATATATCACGGTTAAAAAATATTATAGCTAAATAAACCGGTATGTAAATAAAATAAACATTTTATAATGAATGATTTAAAAATTTATTGTTAAACGACTCATTTTGAGCCGATTTTCAAAAACGACTAGCTCAATATTTTATTAGGAAAAATATTATGCAAGCCTTAAGATTTTGCTCATAGGTGGCACAAAAGTTGGAACATCTATTAACGAAATCTCGAGGCTTAAACAATATTTTTCTGGCTAAAATATTAAGCTAGCCGTTTTTAAAAATCGGCTCAAATCGAGCCGTTTAACATAATTTAAAATATGCAATGCTTCCACCGCATTCCTTGGAGGATTGAATCTTTCATACTATTTAAATTTTAATTAATTGGTCTTCAGATACATTCCATGAATAAAATTTAGTTAAATATTAAATTTTTAATATCAAGATTTCATGTATCCTCAGATCAGAGGAAGTTATAGGATATAGTATTTGTATTATGAGTCAAAATTAAATCCAAAAGTGGAATAAAAACGGTTATTTTATAGTAATCCTCAATTGATTCCACGTTAATACAAACAACGATTTGTTTGTAGGTGAAAGTCGAGGCCTGTGAATCTCAAAAACATATAATTTTGCTTTCACCTCAACAATCACATAAATCTCGAGAAATTCCTGGTCGATATTATCTCTTGGTTTTCCAAGTTGTAATATAATAATATCGCGATTCTCATAACCCTAATCCATTTTTTTGAAATATAATGCAAAGAATTGTTGTGTAATTTAATACATTCCAATGAAAAAAATTGGCAGTCATATTAAATCTAATAATGTATCCGTTAGTGATTCTAATATTTCTTCAAGGGCATAGAAAATAGGCTCTTTTAGATCCAAAAAATTCTGTAACAGCATTATGTCGAATGATACATCTTGTCGCTTAGGTTTTTTGCCGTTTCTTATTTCCTATAGCACAAGAAATCTTAGAAATAATTATATTCAGCAAAATCTGTCTTTTGGATATCTGAAAATTTGATACACTAAAAATTTATTTTCTAATCATAGTTATTAGTAGAGACAAACTAAATAGATTTTTTTTTGATTGATAAAACTTTCTTATATCCATCAGTATTTATTAAAAAGTGAAAGAAAATAAACTTTAAATTTTCGTGAGATAAAATATTTATATACAAGAAAAAAATATTTAAATTAATTAATTTTTGCTAATATTTAGAATAGAATATAACCCTCTGAAATAGAATACTTTGCAACACAATTCATAAAGCCCTTTTATTTTCAAAAATGGGGATGGGAATTTCTTCACCTTTACTACCCCCATTGGCTACGCGTCTGAGCCCTTTCATATTTTTTAAAATTGCTACTACGAGCCTGGTATATAGCAATGTTTAAACCCTACTTAGTAGCGTGATACTGCGTGACGAAAAAGTAGCATAGTTACTTTAACGCTACTTTATATAAAGAAAAAATTTAGGCTTATTTTTTTTATATAATTTATTTACATCGATTAAATTTATATTTCAATTTCAAACATGTAAAAAATATTGATATAAAAATATGGCTAAAAATGTTAAATATAAGCTTTATTTATTTTGGGCACATTTAATAATAATATCATCTCTATATCTTCAAGAATTGAGCAACAATCAAATAGTATAAGCTTTGCTTTACTAAATAATGCCTCAATATTAGCACTTAAAGGCAAGGCGGGTATTTAATTTTATAAGCATATTTTTAATATAAGAAAATATTATCAAAAATGTTCAATTGAAGTATTTTTAGATTTGCAGATCTTTATTTTAGAGTTTTTAGGATCTAACCAATGGTCAATTCCTTATAAATATCATTGGCTAATGACTCTTCCTGTTGAATGATGCTAGTTTTTATGTTTTTAATAGTGTTTTTAAAAGGCTTGATTTAGCCAAAAAGTATAATTTCGTTAATAGATGTCTACCTTTCTGATCTATATGCAAAATCTTCAGTCTTGCTAATATTTTTTGGCTAAAATATTGGGTTAACCGTTTTAAAAAAGTCGTTTAACAACACCAGTTTTTCATAACCACGATACGCCCATTACTGAACAAATTAAGACTTTACTGATCAATTTCATATTTTATGCTGCTATCATTTATATTAATTAAATATTGATAAAAATATTATATTTCGTTAAAATATTGGAGGTTGCGTTAAATTTTTATATGTGTATTATAATTTTATTTCCCTCTACTAAGTAGACACATTATACTATTATGCCATTGATATAATTATTTATTCGAGATATTGAAAAATATATTATATTTTCATTCACATAACTGATTTTTAAACTTTGAACAAAATATACAAATTCATAATTTAATATAATATATCAATCTTATTACTCTTGGGTTAGCCAACTCCTTAACCACTTTGACTTCCTGATCGTTTAAGACATCGTGGTATATAACGATCCACGGTTTGTAACTCAGGGTCTCTTCTTTCGCGGGAGAAACTTTGAGTGCCGGAGATTTATGCCTATTAACGTACCTACATTTGAGTTTCCTTTGAATCAAAGTATCCTTTTAAGGGAGAGTAACAGGGTGAAAGAAAGAGGAATAAATTAAGCTTACGATAGAAAGACATAATCGAATTTGTGATAATAATTAAGTCAATAATGTTATTAAACAGCTAATATAATATTTTAGCAAAAAACATCTATTAACGAAATCTCAAGGCTTGTATTACATTTATGGCTAAAATGGTGGGTTAACCGTTTTTAAAAATCGAGCCATTTAACAACACTTGTTAAAATCATGTCTAATCAGAATTTGGAGTTTGAACCAAAAGAATTTTGTTTCCTAAATTTTAAAAAAGTTGGTCCTGGTTTATTCTGAGTTTTGGTTCCTAGATTTTTCCCAGTTCCAAACATCTGTGTTTAAATAATAAATAAGTGGAGCATGATGAAGAGCGAAGGCGTGCTAAGATTGTCTAAATTTAATTTTCAACACAAATAAAAAAATAACAATTCTACTTTTAACTGAGAAAATGACAAGAGGTAGCTACTACGTCATAATAAATAAATTCCATATTATTTTACATAGTGGGAATTTGACGAAAATAAAATTGCTATATTTTTGCTATTGTTTTTTCTATCAAAACGGATTCAGAGAATGCCATATATGACCTAATTTAATTACTTAAACCTCTAAGATTATCTAAATAGGCTAGCTAATCATTATGCATTTTTATGGTTTCGTCATATTGCATAAAAATTCTTTCAGAAAAGATTTTCAAAAAATTATGATTAACCAAAAGTTATGTTGGCACCTATTGACTATATGCCACTGTAAATGTAATCCTTTATGTTAATCCGTTTTAGAAAATATTAAAAATAAAAAATAAACCTTGGGATGATCTCCCCTACACAAAGAATGATAGTTCATTTGTTCAGGTGAGACATACTTATCACGCGGGCTGACTTTTCCCATTTCCTCGCTCTTTACACCCGATTTTTCGAGCTCTTCGAGATCCTTTTGGTACAACTGTTTGTTTTCTAATGCCTTGCTATGTGTTGGATCTTGAAAAATTTATTTTAAAAAAAAAATCAACAAAATATAAACATTTTAAGCATATGGCTATTGTCCTCTTCAAATTATTATAAGTCGATTTCATGGCAAATATACCAATTATTGGGATGACCTTTTTAAAAATTAATGAAATATGGTACCTTAATGTTAAAATGTGTATAAATTATAAAAGCTCTAGCTCAAATGAATTCGGAGTTGATCTTTCAAATCATTCGGTGAATATTTCATATATAATATATTAGTGATCTACATCGGGTCTAATATTATAAGCCCTGCCCATCCCAAAGAATTCTTTTATTTGTCCCGAAAAGCTCGACTTGAAATGAAAAATATTTGTCCGTGCGGCCCGAATTTTAAATATAGAAAAGAATTTAATATTTTTTAATTGTAAAAAAAATACTGCGCCTTGTTTCTTGCAAAATTTTTAAAATTCAATTATTTAACAAAATTGAATGGTATTATATTTAAAAATTTAATCTCGGTCCGAATTAATTTTTTTTTAAAAATATTAGGCTCTACGCAACCTCGACTAATTTTTAAATATTGCCGGTAGAAATATCATTTCAATATATATCGATTTGTAACAATTCTCTTTAAGAAAATAAAAATATTTGTAAAAACTTTTCAGTGTAGCTATATCTCCGGTAAAATAAAATTTAGTTATTTTAAGCTATTTGGAGCTATAAAACTCACCTTATATATTTATTTACCAAGAAGAAATAAGAATTTAAATATTATTTTGTTTATCATAATTTTTAGAATATAAAAACCAAATATAGAGGGCACTTCGTTAGGAAATAATTGTAATGTAATTTTTTTTGAATATAAAATTATCCATTTTATATTATAAATAATCATTTTTGTATGTTAAAACATCAAATAAATTTTAATTATTATATAAAATAACCCCTTTTTATAGCAATTCAATATTGTAAATACCTATACGTTCTGAGGCTTCTATTATGTGTACACCCGATATATTGTGATTATCTATCATTCGGACGAAAAATAATTATCATTTATGATTTAAAAAAATAGGCACTGGATTTGAAACAAAATAGCGTTTATTATAATTTGTTTTAAAAAAGCTTTCTTTTTTGAGCTACTTAAATTGTTTGGAGCTCAATATAATTTTCTATTAGCCAAATATTATTTTTTTCTAAACCAAGGCCTAACTAGGCCTGAAAATTGTATGTATTTCAATCGAGGTCAATCAAAAACTATCATCTGATTCTAATTGTGATGCGTATTTGGAAGATCTATTACTGGGGGAATAGGAATTCTTCGATATCAAGATACAATTATACATATTATGTAGTTTTTTATAAATTAAAATGCCATAGTATCATGTATTGATTAGTTAAAATTCATATATATATTCACTTATACCAATCAAATCAGATGATAAAAAAATATAATAAATAAATAATATATATTGTTTTTGTTTTATCTTGATATTTTTGAATAATCAAAATAAGTACCCTCTATATTTAGTTTTTTAATTCTTATGTATGAAAAACGAAATAAGATTAAATTTTTATTTCCACCAATTTATTTTTCAATTAAATATTTAATGCATTAATAAAAAAAACATATCTAGTGAGTTCCTTCGCCCCAAAACAGGGCTAGCTCAAAATAAGGCATTTTTGTTTTAGCGATAATAATACATCTACACGTAAGAATTTTTTTAAAAATATTTTAATATTTTCTTAAAGAGAATTTTAAGGGATACGAAATGATATATACTTTACATATTTGAATTAAATATTTATGGAGTAATTTGGGATTATTAAAACCGAATTCGTACCTGTATTGGACTTTGAATGCCCATGGTGGATCAATTTAGCTAGAGCTTTAAAAATTTGGTAATTATTTCTGTAGGATTCTATACAACCATGAAACATCATTCGCTTTTTAATATAGTAGTCATATATCTCATTTTTGATCGATTTGTCATAGAATATATTATAAAAAAATTCTTTTATTTGAGCCATTTCTTGATTCTTGGATATCAAGATGAACAAATTTTAGAAATTTTCGTTTAAAAAAAGAGAACAAATGTATAAAATCGTATCTTGAAACGTTAAATTCGCAGGAGAGCCCTTTTACATATCTTACATTCTAAAGAAAAGAACGAATACAAAACCTAGAATGCCATAACCCCTGTTTTACAGGCATAAGAAGCTACCAAGACTAACCTGGGGTTGTAGGATCTTGAATAGTTTCATAAATAAAATTAATATGCACACTAACAGCTAAAAAGTAAGAGTTAACACTAAAAAAAATAATTATCAAAAAAGCGTTTATACTTAAATCTAGAAGTTCATCGGTTTTATTCAAAGCCATGATAACATCACCTTGCTATAAGTTAGTAAAAAGAAGTATATATTGATAATAGAATTTTTTTTATTGTTTAATGATTAATTGTATAGTTAATTTAAAGAGGAAAATAAATATGATCACCTTATAAAGAGAGAATGATAAATATTCCAAAATATCCTCTTTTTCCATGGTTTTATCCTGTTCCTCGTTCCATTTTCTTAAGGCCTCTTCCATCCATATGCGGGCGTGATAAAAATCTTCGTTAACATAGGATTGTCTACCTATTTCGAAACATTGCTCGGCTAAATTATAACGTGTTCGGCATGTAATATATATAAAAATACAAAGATCGGTTCAATAATTCTTTTTATTTTTCTCACATGTACGAGATTCAACTCAATAAAATCATATAAGGTTAAAAAAAATGCATAGAAATATAGTAAATAAAACCCATTCCTTGTTTTTTGGTGGTTTTTTATTATAATATCTTGTAAAAAATTACTTAAATATTTCAAGATAAACTTGGGTGGGAAAAATACTATTATATAATTTAACATAGGTTTAACCATAAACTTATAATATAATATACATATAGTGCCTACTCGTTATAAAAATATATACAGTTTTTCATCCATGACTTTAATGAGAATGTTTTATTAATTGCCGATGAAATAATTGATATAGTTCTATATGAAAGAGATATTTTATTATAAGCTAAAATTAATAATTAGCTTATATCATATCTAAAAATTATCGGTATAAATTTCATTAGAAACTTTTAATTTATAACCAAAAAAATAAGAAAAATAGCTTTTATATATTTTATTGACATTGGCAATAATTTTCTTGACGCGAAATGGCATTTCTAAGCGCTTTAAATTTCATAAACAATTCGGTCTTGAACTGAAACAAAAGTTTTGGGCAGACCAATAGAACCTAGTTTGAAATTGATAGCACTAATTTCCTTTATATGGGAGACAACAAAATTTTTAAACAATTTGATCACGAATTGACTAATTGGATATTTATTTTTTTAAAAATAGGCATAATGTATTTCAAAGTAATATTCATCTACAACCCAAAACTCTTTACGGGTCCTTACCCAAGTTGTTTAAACTTTTTTCAGTTTCTCTAATGAAGTAAATATAATAAGCAGCATCCAATTAAAATTACTCCATAAGGTTTTTTAATAACTCTTCTACTACTCAAAAAACATTCTATCCATCTCAAAACCCAATTTTAAAATATTTCACTTGTTTTTCGCATGAAGTAAAGAAATTGACATTATTAATTTCAAACTACACCCAACTAATGTATCACCCATAACTTTTTATCATGTCCAAAACTGAATTGTTTTAAAAATTGCATTATAAAGCGCTATAAGCGACACCTTGATGTAAGTAAATTATTGCCATTATAAAATATAGAAACCATTTATTGTATTGCTTGGTTATTAAACTGACTTACACAATCTCAATAATGTATGCAACAGCTTACAATCTCGAGGGGCTCAATTTAAAAAAAAAGGAAATAATTTTATAGAAAATATTTTTAAAATTACCTTTTAAGTAATTTTTTAAAATAATTTTAAAAAATTTAGGGGGCTCTTTAAATTTTTCAGGGAGATCGAGCCCATCCCACTCCTGGTGGCGCTACTAGTATGCAATCCTGTAAATTTTTATTCTTATTTTTAATTGTGAAAGAGGTATACATACACATTCATCTATGAATACTATTAAATAAAACATATTCCAGCAAATCATTTAGATTTTTATGACTTTCAAACCTTATTTTATCTCTCACTTTAAATATTTGAAATTTCTTTTCGGCAAAATATAAATATTTTAAACCAATCAAAAAAACAATTCAAAATAAGTTATTACCTATTTTTAATCACGAAGAGTAAGTTTTTTTATTTAAATAAAATTTAATTATTGAATGATTCAAAATTGCTCCATTTGAGCCAATTTCTAAAAACGGCTAACTCAATATTTTATCCAGAAAAATATTCCGCAAGCCTGAATAAAGATTTTGCTTATAGATGGCACAAAAGTTTGAAAATCTATTAGTAAAATCTCGAAGGCAATATTTTTGGCTAAAATATTGAGCTAACCCTTTTTAAAATCGGCTCAAATGGTGCGATTTTGCATCACTAATTTTAATATAATACTACACCCATTTAAGAATAACAATATATAAATAAAATTTAAATAATGTTTGCTTATGAATGAAATGAGGGATCTTTTTTTGTTCATCTATTACTGCAAAAATCATAAACATAAAATGTAACTATTAAATGTAAATGAACCTGTTTTCTAATCAAAATAATTTACTTAATATATTCTTAACAGTCTAAATTTAATAAAATTAAGGTAAAAATTGCAAGAGAATATTAAATTTCCCCAGTGTCAGCTGTTTTGTAAGAAATTTTCAAAATGACAAAATAAATTTTATAACGAGTTTTAATGTTCATCGTATAGGCCAATGAGCAGTCTATGCTCATATAGGTTTATGAGTTTCACAAACTGCCAAAAAAAAATCTTAGTATACAATTACATTTGTTAAAATAAAATAGTCTCTAACATTTCTCATAACTATTAAATTATCCCCATCCCATAAAAAAATCTTACATTTCTACCATCCTCTTAAAAAAGAATTATTTCATACCGTTTAAATTAGGGGAGTTTTTGATGCCAGATATATCACTCCCGGCCATTTTATTAGTGTCGACTTTGTATATATCCTGGAGCCTGAAAAGTGCAACAGCGGCTCCGTTTAAATCGTCTTCTCCCGGGAGAAATACGTTAGATTCGATTTTGTTTATGTAGACTTAAAAATTTTTGATAAAACAAATTTCAAAAAGAAAGCTATTAAATGTAATAAAGAGTATATATATTATATATAAAAAATTGACGAAATTAGAATTAATTTAATAAGTTGGGATAAAATTCAAGAAAGATCATATTTTGGTCAACATAGGTGAAGTCCTATAGGGCCGGCTCGCCAACCCGGCCTGCAGTAACTTCATCAATAAAATACAGACCCGGCGTGGCACCAGAAAATATTAATTCTATATTTCCATATTATTCTTTTTTTTGCTTGATTGAATATCTCATAAAATTAATTTTTTTTAAAAAAAAAATAAGAAAAACAGGAATCGATAAATATTTCATATTTATAATTAATTTAAATTATTTCCATTCAATCAGCTATATAAATAGGTTTCTTAAGGTTACTATAGATCCGCTGCTTCTAAGACAGAACAAAATCTGCTAATTAGACCAACCTAGAATTAGCCATATAAACCAGGAACTACCTTTAAAATGTGTTCTAAAAACAAAAATCATTGCTATAAATCAACTTACCATTTCGTTATCGCAACCATTCCAATAAAAATACCTAGTAATGTCTCTCTTAATTTTCCCAAAAGTGTAGTAAATATACTTCATGATAAAATTTAGCAAAATCAAAGTTCATGGCCAACACAATGTAGGAAGTCTGGTTCTATACATGTCAACCATAGATGTTCCCCCATAACTTTAGCGATGTATTTAACTTTATAAAGAGAAGTTGCTTGATACCTTGTTTCATCAAGGAATTTCATGATTAACAATTAAGGGGATCTAACATACCTTGCTCTTATACTATTCAGAGTTGGCATTTTTTAAAAAAAATCAATTTTTTATTTAAATTGCGATTTAAACAAATAAAAATAATCAAAATTTAATTAAAGAATTATGGTCTAAGATTTTAAATATTGATTTTTAAATTTCAGTTTAATATTATCTTGCAAGTAAGGGATTAATGCTCAAGAGAACAAGTTAGGAAATTGTTAAAAAATTAATTAATGCTATATGTTGTATTTTTACATTTTTTCAGATAAAGAGCCATGATATACAATATAGTTATTTAAAAAAAAATTTAACTATCAATATCGGTGTCGAAAGAAGGTCAGCTGATATTGTTGGCTAAAATAATTTTATTATTCTAATATTTTTCAACTAAAATTAGCTATTGCCATTTTTCAACAGGTTAATAATTAGCCCAATTTAAGACCCCTAAGGGCATATTTTTCATTCATAAATTTATTTATTTTTCCACTCAGTTTCTTACAACTATTTTGGAAATCTTGAAACCAAATTTTGTATTATTGTATAAGAAAAAAATAAAATAAAATAAGTATAAAGGTAATTTATTTTTAAAATGTTTATTAGATATAAATTTCAAAATTATACAATTAAATTCTAATACCAATGTTGACGATATAGATATTATTTGTGATTTTTAATATATGTTATTTCTTAATTTTACAAACTAATGGATTATTTTTTTATTATAAAGAAATAAAAAATTTCTTAAAATATATGTAAATTTTTATATTAGTTTGGTTTTACATTTAGAATATTACTATGTCAAAAATTGAAATAGAAAATAAATTTTTTTGTCTAACAAGTGGTGATTAATAGAGCAATTTGGTATTTTATTTAGATTTTGTTTATCTAAGTCCTTATCTTTTACTATTTAAAATTTGATTTAAATCATTGATTTTTAAAAAAAGTAGAGGTAATTTAAATAGGCCAACCCTACTATTCAATCATCAGAAGTATCCAACAAAGCTATCCTCCGTAAAAATTCAAGTTGTTCCTAGACACGGGTCCGGGTTAGATAAAAAACCGGTAGGTGGGAGGACTTGGGTCGAAAAATAAGATTACCCTGGTCTCTAGTTATCAATATATAGCTAAAACCTTTTTACGACCATTTTTAATGAGATATGGGATTTTAATAGTTGTAGCCCGATCTAAAGAGTTAAGATAAGAAATATGTTACTATTAATAGGTGGCCACATTTTAAAGATTGAGAATATAAGTCAGATTGAATAGAAGCAATTTAACAAAAAAATATACATTTTATCTCTCTCTCTTTTAAAACTATTTTAAAATTTGTATATATAATTTTAGATCAATAGAATATTAAACCCACACTAATTCATATAAGGCCTTCTCCCATAATATTTAGATAAAACTAAACAATTTTATGTTCAAATTGAACAAGTATATAAATTTTCTTTAAAGAATGAGTCCACAATCATATGCTTTTCAAATATTTCGATATTCAATTAAAATTCAATTTACGAATAACAAATTTCGAGATTTTAAAAAAAAATTTTTGACAAATAAAATTTTTAATTATACTTAATATGAAAATCGTAAATGTTTAGTAAATATTAGAATTATTCGTTAATTTGAGAATTTGCAAATATTCGTAAAATGAAATATTTTATATTTTCGGGCACTTGCGATATATTGATATTTTTTTTTATTGTGATGTGCTTTTGTTTAAAATTCCTTACTAAAACTAAATTAAAACAAAAATAAATTTTAGGAGTATGCAATAGGATCGAGAATGAAATAGTAGAGTTCTACATTGTGAATGTCTATTTTTTTAGTGGCATTCTCTAAAAAAAGAAGATATTTTATATAGGGCTGTGCCAATATTAAATATCGGATCGGATCGGTACCGATATTTAGTGTTTTCCGAAAATATCGGATAGGGCCAATACCTGTAAAAACCGATCCGATCTTTTACTTTTCTTTTTTTTGTTATTTTATTTTATTTTATGTTATGTATATTTATTTTACATTATTATAATATTTTCTTCTTTTTTAAAATAGATTTATAATATTTTAAATTTTTTTCATAAAAATAGAAAGGAACACCCAAAGTTTTATTTATTTTTAAAGCCAATTTTTTTATTTATACTTTAAATAAAAGAATTTTTTTAAATATGGTATCTGAATTATGGAAATATTTTACAAAAGACAAAGATAATTTTGCAAAATCATCTGAGTCTGCCTTGAGTATGGCAAGAGATATAGATCATATTAGAGGTGGGCGCGGGCCGTGAAATTAGGCGTGACCCATCGTGTCACGGTGGGTCACGACATGAGTGTGAATAAATTTTAAATTCCAAGGCGTGACTGGGCGTGAGGGGTCTTCCCAAAATTTTCCCCGGGCGTAATCGGGCGTGAACATAAATTTCCTGTGAATCACGGAAATTTAAATTTTTAAAATTGTTTTTTATAAATATAAATTTGCAATTTTATAATTATATTATATATTTTCTTATTTAATTTAGTTCTTTTTTAAAAAAGAATAAAAACTAAAATATCTTCCGCATTTTATAAACAACATCCGGTATCATTTTGTTAGTTCTATTTCTTTTTATGTTAAGGTGTTTTTTATCGCGAGACTTTATGCTAAATTTTGCTTAAACTTTTTACAGAAAAGTCAGTAATATTTTATTTGTAAAGATCTTCAATCTTTAAATGCAACAGAAAGTGAGGGATTTTACAAGCTAGGCCAAGAGATAAATGTTGGTGATACATATGGATAACAAAATATAAAAGTCGTGAACCGGAAAACTCTCATCAAAAATATACCATGAAATAAAATTTAAGATTAAAAGCATGATCGTTGTCCATAATCACTGATATTTGGACGGATGACTATAAAAATCTAAGTTTTTAACCATTATAGGACATATTATCATTAAGGATTTTAATTAAAAACATTTGTTTTGGCCACAAGAGCAATGGATGAAAAAAACGTTAAAATTTAAAGTGTAGTCAATTCAATTTTAGGAGAATATACAGAAATAGAAAATTATTTAAATAAATTATAGTTGTGAGTGATAACGGAGCAAATCTTATAAGTGCATTCAAAGATGACGAAACGCTAGCATGTATATGCCATATACTAAATAATATTATGCATTAAATTTTTGACAATTGTTTAACTGAAATAGCCTTAAATATAAATGGTGCAAAAAAAAATGGTACAATATTTTAAACACAGCTAATAGCAAACTAAGCCACACCCTTAAACAATATGTAATAGCGAGAATAACAAGATGAACTCTGTATATTTCATGATACAGTTTCTTAAAATCATATTCTGAAATACAGGTGTACACTTGTTTAGCAAGCAAGAATTAAATAGATTAGCCACAATTGATATCAGCATCATACGCAAGTTAGATAAATTTTTATAAATATTTAAAGAATGCTCGGATAATCTGAGAGCTGATTCTCGTCCCACAATAAATAAAGTTTGTCTATGGAAACAAAAATTAATAAAATTTTGTTAACCTTCTGAACGTTATACAATAATAATCAAAACCTTAAAATACAGAATAAGATTTCATTTTATAGATTATTATGCAGCCACTATAGTAGGCTTAATTCTAGATCCGAATTTCAAAAGATTTAAGTTTTTAATAAAAGAAGAAAATGATATATATAAAACAATCTTAAAAATGCTAAATGATATAAAATTAGATGATATGCATAAGTCGATGCCAACTACCATTTATAACTTTCCTAACTTATCCTAAACTCATAAAAAAACGTATATTCTAAATGATCAATACCTACTATCACTTTCCTAATTCATCCTACCTCATAAAAGACCGTATATTTCTAGATGATTCTGATGAAGCATCAACATCACCCATGAAATCTGTGAGGATGAACTTAAAAGATTCATATAAGATAAATAACAAGACAATATTTTGAAGTTTTGGAAGCATGAATATTCATTTCCTTTTTTGAGAAAACTATCGAGTAAAATTTTGTCAGCTGCAAGTTCGGCTTCTAGTGAAAGGTTATTTTCTGTAACAATCTCTTACTAGAGGAAAGGCGTACACAATTGAAATAAAAAAAGATGGGCATTCTTTTTTTTCCAAATAAATTTCGATTTATAGATTATATTTATTTTTTGTTATTAATATGGATTATGAAATTTGAGAAATAAATATAATGAATTCGAAAATGGGTAAAATTATAGCAATAGTTTTGAAAAATTTAAAAACACCGTGAATTTTTGGGCGTGAATCAAAATATTGCTTGGCGGATCGGGTCGAAAATTTTTTAGCGTTAAGCGTGAATGGGCGTGATATTTTTTATTACCACCGTGAGCGGGCGGGCAGTGAATAAAAAATTAAGTCCGCGCCCACCTCTAGACCATATCGTAGAAGCTTATTCCCAGAAAATCTGGAGGATCTCATATTTATTAAAAAAATCTTATATTATAATTTTATATATTAAATATTACAATTTTATAATTCATACCAACATAAAGATATATTATTAAATATATCCATTTTTTTTATTATAGTCTTAATTGTAGAAATAAAAAAATTATTAAATTCATAATTCAATTTTTTACATAAAAAATATTGATTCCTTAATTACATTTGGTTCAAACGGGGGTGATTAAAAATCAGTATAAATATCGGATCGGTATCGGATCGGTTTTGAAGCTATATCGGAAAATATCGGATCGGATCTGTGAAAAATATGTGGATCGACACAGCCCTAACTTTATACCTTTGAAAGAATATCTTTTTTGAAATTTATTTATCAAAAAAAATAGTTACTTTTATCATAATAATAAGTTAAGTACTATTAATTAGACAATAAAATGTTTGAATTTTTTTTTGTTGTTTATTAAATTATAATATCTGAAAAAAATAGTTTTTAAAAAAAATCGATATTTGGTATTCGTATTACGAATATGAATAACAATTAGTCGATTCTTATGAATACGAATACTAGATTATTCGATTTGAGTTTCTGAGACTGCCTATAATCGTTAAATAGATTTTTAAATAAAAATCTTGCAATTATAAGAATTAAATTCTAATAAAACTATATTTGAAACAAAATCTTGCTGAGTTGATAATTTCTGAAGTATATTCGAATAATATTCAGTATTCTGAGATATTTAAAAATAAATCTATCATATTTTAAAAATACTATTTTAATAAAACTATATTTTGAAACAAAATCTTGCTGCGTTGATAATTTCTGAAGTATATTCGAATATTTTAAAAATACTTTCGGAAGTGTTATGTCTCATAATGGTTGTTAAATGCTTCCAATCCTTTGTGAGACTTTTGATGAGTAAGAAAGCGTTAATGGGATTGCCCATATAATATTCTACGTCGACCTCATCCTTTCTCATATTTTCTTCTTGATCTTTCACGTAGCTGATCAGAATTAATATAAATTAAAATTTTATTGATTATTACTGTTATTCAACTAGATTTAATTCCATAATTTTTTTTAAAAAACGAAATGTAGTTTTATTTAATCAAATAGTATCTATTCCCGAACTAATGATATTTTTCAAAAACAAAGTGATAGCTAATTAAAAAATGATATATGAAATTGAAAAAAAATGACAATTCTGAATTTAGAGAGATTTATTATTTCTATTGTGGTCAGTTGCGGCTGCTGAGTTGATGATATAACCTCCAACTCCAGGTTGGCTGTGGGGAGATTTTGAACTATAAAAAAGGGCTTTTGGTAATTTAGCTCTCTCAACAAATCTTTTCATTCCCTAGAGGATCTATACCCATCCTGTATTGGAAGACTTTACGTTGTTAACCTAGTCCCGTTGATATATATAATACCCGAATCAGTGTCACGTCATTTTGATTTCAATATAATTTAATGAATTATGTAAAAATTTTAAAGATTTAATTATAGTATTTTGGATAATAAATTGTTGATGCCCTGAAAAGGACTTAAATATAAAGATATTAGGGTTTCCTGTTGCAACACGATAAGGTATAGAGTTTATTGTTAACTACCCAGATAATGAAGATAGTTAATAAAATTTAAGTAAAAAATTGTTTATATAGGAAAATAAAAATGATGTGCCGCCAGCTGATTTGTATTGTGACAGATCTAGGTATAATATTCATAATTTGTGAATATAGTTTATATTTACAATTAAATTAATGTTTGCATTTAAGATATCTTTTATATAATTTTCATTTCTACATAAAATCACTCATACCCACCACTACTATCATGTTTAAAATGACTGAGATTTATTCTAAAATATTCATTAAAAAAATTTTACACCGGTCCTCTGTTTATAATATATATTATTGATATTTTGATTTAAAATAATATTTCGTTTCATAAACAAATTTATAATTTTCGAAACACTCACTTAATTTTTCTGTAATATAGCCTTCAAATAATTTCACAAATTCTCTTGTATGCTTAGCCTTATTTAAATATTTTATTTTATACTTTGTTTGCATTCTAAATTTATATAATAAATTATTTAATTTTTTTAAATACTATTGATAAAATAAAATTTTATTGACATGACCTCGGAGTAAAAAGGGCACTCTATTTTATATTTAATTATAAACCTATTTTATATTAAAACAAATTTTCATTATATTATATAAACTAGGGTTTCACCCTAGCCCAGTCTTCGGCAGGGAGGTGGCAGGTGTCAACCATGAGATGGTATTCAGGTGAAAAAGCTGTATTAAAGAAAAACATAGCGATCGCTAAGCCAAAAAAAATCTAAGGTAAAAAAAATGCTAAAATAAGTTTCAAATAATATTCAAAGGCTATTTTTAGTTAAAAAAAATGTAATGATAATTATTATGTTTAGTTGGAAAAAAAATTTTATTTCCAACTCCTGCTCTCAAATTTTTACTTCCACCTCCTAGTTCTCAATCTATCTATCTGCAAGTTTAAGCCATTCTTCAGTAAAAAATCTAACGTCATTAAACATCTCCATTATTGGAAATATTCCAAATTTTTTTGCCTATCAGGCCTCCTGCTTTGGAAAAAACAAATTCACATGACACCAATATGGCTTGTATAGGTAAATAATAGCTAGTCACTCTGGCTAAAAGAGGAGAACGGCATTCATTGGTTTTCCACTAATAGTAAGATCTTATCAATTGGATATAAATTTTCAAACGAATAAGCTCACAGGTCGTTATCTTCCTAATTCTCGCCAATCATTTTATTTTTAGCAATTCTCTCCTTTAGTAGATTAAATAAGAATTTTTTTAAAAAATTAAAGCCGCCATAATTTTTGCATATGGTTGATTGCCTTTTTTTAAAAAAAACTATTATAAAAAATATTATTATTATATCTGTCTTTCATGTTTATCTTCTAATTTTACAATATCAATACTCCCCTATAGGGCTGTCGTCCGATTCTCAATTTTTTTCACCGATCTGATCTGATATTGAAAATATTTTCTAAGATCCGATCCTTTAAAAAATTGCTTGCTATATTTAATATAATATTGATTAGATAAATAAAATTATCAAATAATTGTTTATAATATTTGTTTAATTTCTCAACGGATAATATAAAACTGATATAGTTAGCTCGAATTATATTAATGCTATTCTTTGTCTAAGGTAAATCGCTTGTATTATCGGTCTTCGATATAATGTGACGCTTTAAATCCTTCAAGAAGGCTAGGTCGTGAGTGCCAAAGAAAGTTAACGTTGTAGAAATTATTGGTGTAATAAATGGTTATAAGGTAAAACAGAAGAATATTTGGCAGATTTTCTTAGTTCTGTGTCGTCATTTGCATCATGGCTAGGGTTGGAGGGTGCGAGTGGATCTACACAGGCACGTTATTTTAAAAAAAATAGTGATAGCTTGCTATTTCGCTAATTTCAATTTAATAAATACACATAAAAATTATTAAAAAATACATACGATTAATTCTAAAATCATAATCTTTTTATCTTTAATTTTGAAATTTATATTTAAAAATCTGCATTATAAATCTATTTTTAAAATAATTTAAAATGTCGAGAGATTGATATTGAAGATATTTTTGGTACAGATCATATTGAGTAAGTAATTTCCCTGGAAAATGATGATAATAAGGGATTTCCTTTTCCTGAATTCGTAAAATATCTTAATCTCAATAAAAAAAAATTACACAGGGTATTAATTTCATCAAGATGTGCCAGAATATTTTATCATCAAACAAGACAGCTTCAACGAGGAAAATAACTTTAATATCAATGTGAAGCCCAATCCTTAATCTTTAAAATAAAATTTAAATTAAAGCTGTATCAATAATAGTTTTTGAACTAGATTAGTTTATGTCAAAGTTGATTTCCTGGTCCAGGCCAAATGTGGTATGTTACAACTCACCATAAGATATTATTAAAGAATTATATTATAAATTAAAAATTACAATAAATAATTAATATTAACATTTCATTTTATCATTAGACTCATCTATATAATTAGAATATTTTATAAATTATTATCTGGATGTTAGACATGCTTAAAATTAACCACTAATCTATGTATATTTATAGATTTTACTAAAACATGTTAAATACTTATTTCAATCCTTAAAATTGGTTCAATAGATAAAAGGTTAAAGGGTGGTGGCCTGGTTAGTTGGCCAACATGACCATTCACTTATCACCTTCATAATTTTTATTTTAACTATAACTATTATAATTTAGACTAACCATAAAATTAAAAATGAATTATAGATTGAACTATTGAAAATTTGTTAGACTCATTTTTTTAAATCTAAAAATACTCAAATGATATTTTTATGATTTCTTATATAAAAAATATGTATATTAAATTTAATACTGCATTGCCTCAAGTGCTGAATGATTATTTAGTCATACTCATAGTTTATACTTTCTGATTATCACACAGATTGGATGACATATGTAAATGTTATTATTAAGATGCAATAAAAAATAAATAAATTGTATATATTTTTGAAATTTTAGTCATATTTTTAAAAAAATTCTAAATTTTAGCACTACTTTTTTGTAAAATAGCATAGGGATAGGTACTACTTTTAAAAGTTTCTTTTAACCACTGATATTTAATTCCATTTTTATTTATATTAATGTAAAATTTTAATATAATTTGCCTATTAATATATAATAAAAAAATTTGCATTTCATATTTTTTGGTCTTAAGATGAGTGCATCATTAGGACACAGAAATAAATACCCTAAGGATCCATTTTTGGATCGATGCCTATATGGACTTTTCGATAATTTATTTTTTCTCACATTTACATTTGCATTATTGATTTTTTTATTTTGTGTTAGTGACTAATTCTTAAAACTAATTAAAAGTAACATTTATAATTGGTAAGATTATGCATTCAGAAGGAGAGCAAATAATAGTACTGTTATATTTTGTGAGAATCTATTTTATGAACATAAATTGTTGCTAAGATCAGAAACAATATGATAGAATGGCTTTTTTATAAAATTAATTTCTTAAAATAGTTATTTTCATTAATTATGCAATAAAATGTTTAAATTTTATCTTTGTTGTGTACTAAATGAAATATCTAAAAAAAATTAGTTTAAAAAAAAAATTTGTTACTTGTTTTAATAAATACAATCAATTTTCACAAATTATTTGACTTGCACAAATACGAATAGTACAATTATTTGATTTAGAAAAATATATGATTTCTAAATTATTAATAGCTCCTCTCCTAATTTTTTCACACTTCTCATTATTTTTTAAATTCATTATATAATTATGATAATCAATTAGTAAAAAAATTATATTAATTAATATTTTTGGGGTACTATTGTAGTACTATAAGTTTAAAAAAAATATATATGAACTGCTGCCCCCCTCCCCCAAGTGGATATATATGTGAATGTATGTCCTTAATATTAAAGTCTAATAAAAATTATTAAATTTATATTATTATTAAGACATATTTAAGGTAGTGATAATTACCCTCTAATTTTTTGTAAGCGCTGTTCTTCGTCACTAATATATTCATTTAGCATGGAAAGACATTCTTTCTTGAAATAGATGAGATTTTGTATGTCTGCCATTGAGGTAAACATATCCTCAGATTTTACTATAAAAGTGAATAGCACCAGTTGATAAAATATAACCGATGTTAGGCCAGTTTTAACATTACAGTAGCCAAGATTGCTTGAAATTTCCATTCTTTAAAATTTGATTTAAAATTATGTTGATTGAAAAATTTTATTTATAAATATTGGCCATAAGATGAGAGAATAATTCGGCTGTGCTAAAAATTATATTTAAAAATATACCTTTAATTTTAGGACATTACAAATCGAATCGAATCGAATCTATGAATGGTATATGTGGGCAAACGTAATTCCAACAAACATATGATTAATTAACAAGAGAGAACTGGGAAGGGCGGGGCTAGTAAGTTTGTTGTGGTCCCACGGGGTCGGGGACCAATCACATATTCGGGGACTCGAGAGATAGGTAACCGATTCACATATGACATTTCGCAGAATATTTTGAATTTGGAATTTTGAACAATGCGCCAATCCTTTGATGTGATGTGATGAAATGAAATATATACTAATATATTATATTTTAAATAATTTATCAAAATTAAAATTTTTAAAATTAATATCAACATCTGTAAATAATATAATAAATTAAATACATTAATAATAAATTTATTAAAATATAAACTATTCATTGATAATATTATAAATATTTTATTATTAAATATAGGTGTTAAATTATGTAACTTAAAAATATATATTTATAATGCCAAGTCAATTTTCAAAAAAATATATATAGGTTAATAAGTAGTGTTGTTAAATGGTTGGTTTTTTACGACCCACAACCCGAGCCCAAGTCGTAGAAATCTGCTCAATCCTGAGCCAGGGTTGAAAAATCGACCACGACCCAACCCGACCCAATGGGCCTGTTGAGCCAACCCATTTGGTCGGCTTGCTGGGTCGGCTTGCTGGGTCGGCTAGCTGGGTCGGCTTGTAGGGTCGGCTTGATGGGTCGGCTTGCTGGGTCGGCTTTTTAGGTCGACTTGTTGGGTCGGCTTGCTGGGTCGGCTTGTTGGGTCGGCTTGCGTTAAAATATGTCATAATCGTCATCTTTAAGTTTTTTCGAATTTTTTTGATGCAAATAGGTAAAAATATATGTTGTGAACAAAAATATTAAATGAATTAAAAGAAAAGTGTAGAATTTATAAATATACACAATTATTGGAAGAAAAAAAAATATCATATTAGTAAATCATAATTATATAAAGTCATTAATTCTCGCTATCTTTTATTTATTGAGAGCTAAGTTCCCTTTTAGAGTTAGCATTATAATTGGAGTAAAATAGTCAAAGTCTATCTAATACATAGGATGTTCAATTAGGGGGTTACGGACATTGAAAGTATAAAGCTGAGATAGTTGTATTTTATTATGTTTATGGCTAATCTTTGACGTAGGTAAAATCACTGGTTGGGATCCTCAGTCCTAGCAGAGATTAGTTTTCCCCTTTAAAAATTCCAGGACATGAGAGCCGAACGACGTTAGAGTCTTGGCGATTAATGGTAGGAATTTATAATTGGCAGGAAGCGATGGCAAATATTTAGCGAGTTTATTGGCCTCGACATCTAGTATTATTAATATTGGAAAGGGTAAGAGGATCGATGCATGAAAAATCTCAGGTTAGGAATTCCCACCTCTTCCAATGAAGGAGTAGGGGTGCCTGAGTTGGATAAAAAACTTCGGTCAAAGTTTACCGATGGCAATTTCACTACCGAAGATACCGTGGATATAAGATACCATGGGTTTAGCGATAGCGCTATCTTCATTGGAAATGATAACTCAGGCAGAAGTTAACAAAATTATGAAACATAAGACGACGTAAAGTTCGAAAAACACTTATTTTAGGAATAATAATTAAAATAACGTTAATATTTTCAATAATAAACATAATTACAGTGCTAACAAATTTAACCATAAATATTATATTCCTACTAATTATAAATCTAGTTTTAAGGCTAACTAATTTCAAAAATAAGTCATATGCTTTCGATGCGGTAAGGCAAATCACCTAGCGAAAGATTGTAGAACTCATGGCATACAAATGATTCTACCACGGACACTTCGCGTGTCATTTCCTAATAAAGCTACCATTGATGTGAAGATAAATGGGTTGCAGTTTACTATGGAATTCGATACTGGTGCTGCGTGTAGTGTGATAGATGAGGTTACCTAGAGTCGCATAGGCAAACCATCACTATCGCCTGCATATAAACTAGTGGGATATAACATATCAAAATAGAAGTATAAGGTAAATGTTTAATGGAAGTTGAAGTAAAAAATTTTCAAAATTTTTACCTATTTGGGTAGTTAAAGGTTAGAATTCCCTTATTTTTGGAATGCCTTTTCTTAGAGAAGTTGATATAAAACTTCCGGAAGAAATTTGGATTAACAATATAAATATAAATTTTTCCACTTTAAATACAATTGTTTCGAATTCCGCAAGATTTTTAAAAAAAAATTAGGAGAAATAAAACTCCAACGAGCGGTTATCCGCATACAACCTAACACATTATCGATAGAGTTACAAGCAAGAAGAGTTCCATTTCCGTTGCGTTAAACCGTTAAAGCTAGTTGGATAGACTTTTACACGAAGGAGTTATCGAGAAGGTGTATCCAACAACAACTCCAATCATTTGGGCTACGCTAACGGTTAATATTTTAAGGAGTGTAATGCGAATATGCGAAGATTTTCGTCTAACAATCAACTAACTTTCCTCGACCTGATAAATAGGATCGCGGGTGGTAAAATATTTTCAACAATAGATTTAAGAGATGCATTTTTTTTACAATTCGGAGTTAGTCTAAAATGTATGGACCTTTGAGTAATTTCAACTCATGTCGGTTATTCCAATACCTAAGAATCACTTTTGAGTTGACTAGCGCTCCGATAATATTTCAACGCTTAAAGAGAATTCCTAGGGTTTGTATTTTTAGACCACGTAATTATTGCAGGCGAGTATAATTATTATACAGTTAATCTAGAAGAAGCATTAAGAAGATTTGATAAGGCTGGACTAACAACGACGACCGATAAAATTAAAATTGGAGAAAAGTCAGTTACTTATCTAGGTCATGTTATTAACGAATTCGGAAGTCACCCTACAGAAACTAAGACTAATGCCATAAAAAATTGTAAAACACCGTCAAATATTAAAGAATTCCTTTCGTTTCTTGGAATGGTAAATTACCATGAGTCGTTTATAAAAATATTTACATTCTATTTGTGCGCCTTTACACCGACTAACGAGTAAAAATGTTAGTTGGTTTTAGTCAGCTCAAAAAATGAAATATTTAATTAGAGTTAAAAAAATATTATCAAAAGAAGATACAATAATTCTTTATTCAGCCAATATTCCTGTCGTGATTTCTTGTGACGCTTCCAAAAATATTCTAGGAGCTATTATTGCACACTGATTTCTTACTAGCCAGGAGAAACCTTGCTTATGCATCGAGGACACTTTCGTCGGCGGAAAAGAATTACACCACCATTGATCGGGAGGCTTCAGCGATCATGTTTGGTATCGAGAAGTTCCATTAATATATTTATGGAAGACATTTATTTTGGTTGCAGATCATAAACCTTTAAAATATATCTTAGGTGATAAAAGAGACCTAAATAAAATTACAAATAACCGTTTAATAAGGTGGGCGACGAAGCTACTAAATTAGGACTATTAGATTATTCATAGTCTGATAATCAAAGCAAATATGCCGACTCTCTGTCCCGTTTGGGAGTAGAGAGAGCAAAAACCAATGAAGTTACAAAAAAAATCGAAAATGAAATGAGAATTAAAAATTAATTTAATAGAAGATTTATCTTTCACTCGCAGTAAAGTCGTAAGTGAAACGAGCAAACATATCAATCTGAAAGAGATTATTAAATTAATTAAAAATCATTGGTATATTGATAATCTATATTATAATTTTCCGATGTCCTCACTACGTCATTGTGACGTCATGTCATCGCTTCGTCATGTCATCGCTACGTCATGTCATCGGTACGTACTTATTTTTATTTTTTTATTGATTTTATTTTATTTTTTTTATAGAAAATATTTTTAGACATGAAGCCCAATAAAATCTACCAAATGCAAAATAAAGTTATTCATTTATATATACTAAAAAGGCTTAAACTTTTCATTTTAGAATACTTAGCTTATGATGGATGATATTCCCACTATTTCTAGAGAGGTTAATCTAATATTGACTCCTCTTCAGGTTTAATACATTAATATATTTTTTATTTATTCTTTTGTTTTTATTTTAGATAACAAGCCATGTCCCAACCTCACTTAAGGATTGTACAGGTGGTATATTGACTCCTCATCAGGTTCAATGCATTTATTTTTTTTATTTATTCTTTTGTTTTTATTTTAGGTAACAAGCCATGTCCTAACCTCAGTTAATGATTGTACAGGTGTTGATTTATCCGTCATTAATAAAAGAAAAAGATGGCAGATCAATTAAAAAAAAGAAACGCACTAGGGATAGCGAGACCTACAAAATCTACTAACAACTCAAAATTTTTTTATACTCTTTTATATTATAGAATACATCTATTTTAGCTTCTGATAATGTCCCCACTATTTCTAGGGAGTTGAACCTAATATTGACTCCTCTTCAGGTTCATTGCATTTATATTCTTTATATTATTCTTTGTTTTTATTTTAGATAACAAGCCTTGTCTTACCCTCATTTAATGATTGTACAGATTATATATTGACTCCTCATCAAGTTCAATGCATTTATTTTTTTTATTTATTCTTTTGTTTCTATTTTAGATAACAAGCCATGTCCTAACCTCAGTTAATGATTGTACAGGTGGTGATTTATCCGTCATTAATAAAAGAAAAAGATGGCAGATCAATCAAAAAAAGAAACGCACTAGGGATAGCGAGGCCCTACAAAATCTACTAACAACTCAAAATAAAGTTAGCCTTATATATATATATTTTTTTTATACTCTTTTATATTATAGAATACATCTATTTTAGCTTCTGATAATGTCCCCACTATTTCTAGGGAGTTGAACCTTATATTGACTCCTCTTCAGGTTCAATGCATTTATATTTTTTAAATTATTCTTCTGTTTTTATTTTAGATAACAAACCCTTCTTTATTTCCTCCTTATAATTGTTTAAATATTGATATATCTACCATTAATAATCAACAAATACAAAATAAATGTTCAGAAAAACACGATAGTCTTGACAAGTCCCCAACTAGACAAATTTTATTTTTTGATGATAGCCTCCCAACTACTAGAGATATGCATATATTGACCCCTTTACAGGCTCAGTACAGTATTTTAATGTTCGTTTTATTTCAATAATAATGTTTTATATTTATGCCTGATTTTCTTATTTTTTTTAGGT